CAACAGAGAAAGTAAAGCTGTCTGAAGCACTGCTGTTGATGCGCAATGTTTTCCACGAATGCAACTCTGACATGTATTCCCGCCTCCAACTTGAAAGACAAATGTCTGCATCGGATTGACGCAAATGAGCAATTGTCATAATCATCATCATCATAGTCAACTGACACATAAATCCGAGAGGGCCATAAAATCTGTTGGAAGGAGCAGCCTGTTCCTGGAAAGCAGAAGCTTGTTCCTCTGAGAAGCTGGTGGGCAGAACTGGTAGAACCGACTGTCAGAATTTGTGTGCGGATGTCGAGCTCATTGAAAGCAGTTACATCACACAGCATCGGGAGAGAGAGCGAGAGAGAGAGAGAGTAGCATCCACCCAACTGTGGAGCCGGCATGGAAAAGGTCACTGCCCGCCAGAAGCTCGTCAAGATCGAATGCCTTGCCACTGATAAGAATGGACTCAGCCGACAGACATGGCAACAACCAATGTCAATCGCTGCATTATGTTGCATCCTCGTCTCGAATTCGAAAACCCTACACACGGAGCACTTCGGGACGAGCGTCCACGGACGCAGATACTCAGATTCACCGAGTCATGTCAAGTCGGCAAAGAGTGGTCGTGGCAGACTTAAATCAATGCTTAGATCCAACTCTCCCGTATTTCCCGGCCTGCCTGCGCGGCTTGGATGCTCCGTGGCTGCTCCTCTTCTTCTCTCGCCTTCCGCATTTTCTTCTCCTTCTCCTTCTTCCTTTTCTTTCCATGCTTGTCCTTCTTATCCTTCTTGCTCCTCTCCTTCCTCTTGTCGCCCGTCTTTGGGGTCCCGTCTTGCAGCCTGGAGGCTGCCGTTGATGGCTCTATTTCTTGTGATCCCTCCTCCACCTCGGGCACCTCACATACTTCGGAGGTGGAAACCGCTGGCCCTTAGAGAGCAAGACTCTAGACTCTAGAAGCACGGCGACGCTCCATTCACTGCGGCACACACTGTTTGTGTTCCCGGCGTTCCCGGAGTGTACACGCCCTGATTTAGGCATTAATTTGATCCAAGCATCCCGGATCAGGCCCAGAAGTCTCCGCCTGGATCCGTGAGGGATTTGCTTAGTGGCGCCCAAACAAGACATGGAGATGATGATGATGATCTCATCAGGGCTTTGTCCAGTGCCACTCACCAGCGTGCTAATGCTAAGCCTCAGTTAGAATAGTGGGACATGAAGGCTTCTTGAAAAGAACGACCTACACACTCAAAGAAAGGCAGTCAAAGGCACACAGCGACAGACAAACACGCACGCACACAACACCTGCCCGGGCCCAAACCAACAGAGTCCGCACGCCAGCTCTTAAATCACCTACGCACTCATCCGCACGCAGCGATGTGGCTGTCAACGCTTGATTACAGCATCTTTGTGCAGAGGATACATTTCAGGCAACCCTTGCCTGGAGCGGTCGCGATGCAGAAGATGCCTCCTGACCTGTGGTCTCAGCTAGCCGTGCCGGCACTGCAATTCTGAATGCATCCGACAAGGATCGATATGCGATAAACTGCCAAAGACTAGTTTGGCATGAAGCCTTCTCACTTCAACTGGCCGCAAATCCTTCGCCTTCGACATCCAGCTGGTGCTTCGAGGCAGCACTTCTCTGCTACCCCGTTGATTGAGTGGAACGCTTGTCTTTCCATCCTTCTATCCCTGATGCTCGTTCTCCCACAGGTTTATGCACACGAAAAGCAGCCATTTCGCGAACACTCCAAAACGTGCGGCACTGCAAAGGCACCTCTTTCAGTTTCTACAGTTTGCATGCCATATGAAGTCAGTTGTGAGATCTCGTCAAGATTTGGATTGCCCTGTATCCACAGCAAATTGGGAGGTGATCGGATGATTGAGGGTTGCGCCTTTGAAGTCTCGACGAAAGGCCTGATACGTGGAGTACTTACTTTCCGCACTGTCACCCGGGAGAGCTGCAGACACGGGAGGCCTCTCCATGCTATACTTGCTTGAACGTCTTTTGCTCTGTGGGCCTTGCAGATCCCACAGCTTCTGGATCCGGAGGACTTAGGCTAACGCCAGCCGATGCAACACATCAGCATGCAGCCGCTGGAACAGTCCAGTTGAGTCTAGTTTGTTAGAGTGCGCTCATCATTGACAAGAGTCACGTACGCCGTTGCGGCACACAGTCTAACGATATGCATCAGACTCTAGCTGGCGGTCCATGCTACCCAGCAGACTGCATGTACCTGTGAACTTTGGATCCACACATCATGTATCGACATATATCGTCACGCACTGCTGCAGTCACATGGAGCTATGGTGCAATGCGTGGCTGGTCCGCTAGTCACCGAATGACCCGAATGACGTTCAGTGACCTGCGACTGGTCGGACTCGGGGCATCTGCTCCGCTCGCAGGCATCAGCACAGGCTGGGGCGCACAGGGCGCCGCTTCATCTCAGCATCTTCCATAACGAAATGATTCTGATGCGCGGAGTGTGCCATCTGCAGATCTCACATACTGGTAGTCTGCCACACTGAAACCATGTAGCATGCTGCGATATGTTCCGATGTGAAATCTTCGAGCCATGATGAGCCGGGTCACTGCCTTGCCTGACACAAAGCATCGACGAACAGCACACCTGGTTGATAAACTGCCGGATATTTTAGTGCATCATGGTCAGGCCATGTGCGCAGCCACGGATGCGCTGAAGTGGTCTGGTAAATCGAAACACGCATGTCCAGACGAATATCAGGTGCCGCTGTGCCGTACACGAAGCGACGGGACTACCTACAAGAGCCCTTCGGAGCTGGACCTGTTGGAAGACGAGCGCCAAAACGAGGTGCCTGTTTCCCTAATGAGGTTGTGAGGACGAATACCTCCCCAAAACACGGTTTTTGAGAAGTGCATACATATGTGCACTTCAACTGTACGCGGATTGTGCTAACCAGAATTATCATCTGCAGACAGGTCTCGCCGTGCAGCACTCCAGAGGAACATGCAGATGCAGTCTTTCGGACATGCTTGCATCTCGAGCTCCAGGGCCGGACGGCTGTCTCCACAGCAGATGCAGCGAGTTCTGCAAGGTGAGATGGTGAGACGTGGGTGACACTTTCTCTAGAGGATCCTTGCAGACTGCTTGGACTTGTGCAATGATGAGTGACTGAGTAACAGTGAATTGCAAGGACACCGGCCGTCAACTAGCCAGTTGAAGTCGTGTGACTCTCCAGTCCTTAGGTCAAGCAGTTAGCAACAACACGTCCATCAACTCTGAGCCACAGGGATCGAGCCCGTTGGGGGTGCGATTCTCGTGGCAAACGTTTTCGGAAGCTGATTTTCGCCTCGAAGTAACACTGCCACCAGGCACTGCGATCGGACATGTCAGTCTCGCGTTTCTCGGAACACTTGCGTGTTTCGACATGCTTGGCAGTTTCGTATCTCAAAAGGTGGCAGGCAGTTGTCATCTGCATGATTGTCGTTGCTTCTGTCGGGGCAGGTTGCAAATCACACCGGAAACCGGCCACCAAAACCACAAGGGGTAATGGGTGTCAATGTACTGATCGGTGTGACAGCTGCTTCTGCACAAGGGAGAACCCCGCGAAGGAACCACACCAAAGGCAGGTGACCGCACAGGGACGGGGGCACAACCCACGAGGGGTAAAGGAGGCTCTAGCGTCAATCAACACAAAAGGACGGATAATCGGAGGCCAACACACAGAACCCAGACATCCCCATCATCAAACCTGAAAGCCTGGCCTGTAGAACGCATCGGGCACACCATTTTGGTGAAAACTGGGCAGGGCAAAGCCTGCCTGCACCTCTGACTGCCAGCGCCTGCAAAATTCACACTTCACGTTCCATGAGGCGCACACTGGACTCGTCCAGGGCTGTTCCCAGTACAGCTTCGGCCACATGTGCAGCATCAGGCCTCAAATTGCAGTGTGCGAGGGATTTGGGCTTTAAATCCCCGAACATGAAAAGTTGCAGGCTGCAAACTACGACAAACGAAAAACCGTTCGAGGGGGACACTGGCAGTGCTACAGTCATATGGCACCACTGCCGGGATTAGGTCTGCATGGGATTTGTGTGCCACCAGTTTCGACATCTCTCAATTGTCACGAGTTCATGCATGATCACACTAGTTGCAGGAAGGTCAGTAGAGTGAATGAGGCCGAGGGCATACTAAAGTTGTACGACACCCACAGTTACCTCCAGGCACGAGGAACCCCGATTGAAGTGCTGCTTACATCAGTGAGTTGGCAACACCTCAAGCTGCTGAAAGAAAGTCCTGTCGCATCTAACCCTAAGGCTCTAAGGGCGTGTCCGTCGTGAAGCCAAAGGTCCGCTTAGAGTAAAGTCGACCTGCACAGGGTGACCGGGGCCCACAGAGCCCATGGCGTGCAGAGGCACGCAGCATGCAAGCAGAAGGAGCCATCAAGGCTCATAAAATACCTCGATCTTCTGCCCGGCTGCATGCAGAGCGAAGACAGGATACCTTTGACATGACCGTGAATCGCGAAACCAAGCTCACCGAACTAAAAGGCTAAAAAGCCCAGCCATGGCGATGGGCACGCTGAGAGTCATATCTAGGCCCAGAGCAGCACCGGCATCCGCTCAAGCGCATCATCTCTGAGCGTGCAGGATCCAATGGACCTTGACTGGCATCTACTCCCGACATCTGCTGGCCTCTGGTGGTCCCTGCACAGGCACTGTACCACGGCAAACCAGCTGTGTTCCAAGCGCCCGGTTGATGTAGAAATGCGTCATTCTGGTTTGGATGTCATGCCTAACTCCTTAGCTTTTGCCAGGTGTTTCAATAAGCTCAAAGCACACAGAAGCTGCTGCATGTGAATCTGAGTCTATAACCCAGGGTCATGCCATCCACGAACTGAATCCTTGCAATCAGTCACAAGTCAGTCAAATGAACCGCGGCTGAGGTTTGGCAACTGATCGACTCCGATCTGCAGATGTTGGAACTGAGGGTTCCGCTTTTCCTGGCAGTTGTTGGCATCCACCACATCACCGATTAATCCTATGTTGCTGTTGTACCTCAGCTGGGAAGCTGCAGCAGAGCAATGATGGGAGCTTTGCTCAGATTCCGGCAAGAACGCATCTTTGATGCGCACACTGTGTACCTTGCGCCATACGGACTCTGTGTCGCACTTTCGTATTGGCCCCACTTCCTGCCTCAGGCCCCGATGGAATGTGCCCGCACAGGCCAATAGCAAGTCGATCCGTTGTCCTTGCTTCAATTGAGCTAATGATGCACCTTGTAACGTATTGCCACTCATTGCCCGCACGCGCAACGCTTGCAAGCAACACTCCATCCGCTGGGAAAAGTGCCGAGGCGTATCTCCTTCTAGCATGGTCTAGCTGCACGGGCCCCCGAGCAAACCGAGCACGGCGTGTAAGTTCTCTTGTAGAGAAGGCTTAGGCTGCTTCTCGCCGCAGCTCGAGTCTTTCCGCTTTGAGTGTGCGGCGGATCAGGGTTTTTGAGGATCCTCACCTCGAAAAAGGAGTTGCCTGTCCCAGGCCCATCATTTTGACAGGAACAGCACTGTCGGCCTGGCCCACCTGGCCTGACATCTTCAAGGGATGTTCGGCTGAGATGACTTGCCAACCGGCATGAGTTGCCTGCGACATGCGTACGCAACTGCATGCTTTGCTGCTTTGCTCTTGGCGAAGACCGCAGCTGCAAGGAACAAGCTGCACGGAACAAATTGCAAAATAAACGCATATCTCATATCCTGGCGTCGCCTCCACAACGTTGCCTCGCCTCGCTGTCGGCAAGTTGGGCTCTGCGAGACTAGGTTTTGGAAAATTGTCGAATTGCAGGAAAAAGATGAAAGTTGTACACTCTCCAACTCAGGCCAAGAATCACTTTCAGAGATGTGGCGTGCTGGAGCTTGATGCAATTGCCGCCTAAGTGAGTCACTCGGACATGCTGCGAACCCAGAAACATTACCCGGTTGATTTGGTCGATGCCT